CCCCCCCCGGCCGGTTCTGGCGCACTAGATCTGCTTGAAGAGAACACCCTCTGCCCCCACCCCCGGTGAGAAGGCTATGGCCATCCCCGTTTGATACCCTGCCTTTCCCTCGGCGACGATGGCCTTGTGGCGTTGGAAGACCCTGCAGAGAAGAACGAACAAGGACGGGAAAAAAAAGCCGAGAAATAGAAAAAACAGAACAAGGGGAAAATCAATAAATCATAACGCTGCCCCAAGTAAAGTCATCCCAACACTTTGTGCTCTCGATTGTCAATCTGTGCGTGTTTGTGTTAAGTATCTCGTGCCGTCCCGGCACATGTGTTTGCACCTTCCTGGACACACGTGTTTGGCGCACCAGCCGCGAGTGGACGAACCCATCGGGGTCTTCGCACCCATCGGAGTCAGAGCAATAACAGCATTATTTAATCGATTTCCGAAACGGCAGCATCCGCGATATCGTACCGGGGGGTGCGATGTGCGATAACGATAACACCGATATTAAGCCCCGATTCGGGTGAAATGTTTTCGGCCATTGCTTCCGAGGAACAATCGCTTGGCCGCTTGTACATTCGGCTGACATCATCATCGTTCCTGCGCAATATTCTTCTGCCGTTCGCCTATCCAACCATGTTAAATGGCCTGATACGGAGAGCCGAGCTATGTTCTGAGCATGTCGCCATGGAGCACAGCGGAAGAAGGCCACAAAGTCTGTGCCAACCTCCTGTGCAAACCAGAACTTGTTTGGGAATTAATCCTGACGCTTCTCCTGTGTTGATTAGGCCTTGGCTTTATTGTTGAATCGACTCTAAACGTGATGTGGTCCGTCGCCCGGCCCCACTTCCTCATTAACCCAAGGGAAAACGAGCATCCAGTGAACAGGGTAGAAAGAAGCGTTAAAAACAATAACAAAGCTGTGGCAAAAACAACAGGGCGTTGGCGCGCTGATTGAAGACCCCAACAGTCCCCCCCTTCGCCTATTGGCAACATGCTCTACCATGTACATTAGCAATTGTAATACCACCTCCCAAGAGGCACTTACCAAATCCTCGCTCCGAGGTTCAGCCTACCGTTCTGTCTCTCTGTCTCTGTCCCTTTTTCTCTGTCTCTGTTTGTCTCTGTCTTTCTCTGTGTGTCTGTCTCCATCTCTTTATCTCCGTCCGTCTGTCTCTCCATCTCTGTCTGTCTGTCTCGCTCTCTCTCCCTTCGTCTTGTCCATCTGCCTGCTATCGCTCCCTCTCTTTCTCTCGCCGTTTCCACCTTACCTCGACAGCACAAACATGCTGGTGGGTGAGAGCATGTTCCCGTACTCGCCCAGCACCGCCCAAGAGTCCGCCGTGTGCTCCTCCGTCAGCCCGAGCCCGTTCTGCACCTCCGTGATGATCGCGCTCCCTCCAGGGTGTACAACCCAAAAATCAACTATTCCGCCGCATGGATACACCGGGTGAAAGCAGAGGGGGGCACGCAAACGGTGAAAAACGCCGACAGAAAACCATGGTGAAAATAAAGTACAATGAGGGCGCGGCGATCTATTTCAAGTACGTCCAACGACGGGAGGGGGGCGGGGAGCACGAAGACGGTAGGACTGGAGTGCACACAATAGCGTCACATGCACAGTAATCCTGCAAAGCAGTCGTTGCTTCGACTCTGTTTTAGACTTCTGCCGTACGTGCTGTGCGGGTCATCGCACCGTCGCCAAACCACCGTCCGAACAGCTCGATTGGCCCACAACCAAGAGGGTGTGATCCGAGACCGACCGATAGGGCTAACCAAAGCTCTCCACCACATATTTTCCAAATCCATCCTATTAGGCAGGTGGTGGCTGCCCCCTCGTTTGCGGAGCCATCGATTTACGAACGTCGGTGGCCTCTACAGGTGGGAGGGGGTGACCCGACCTAGCACATACCCGCCCAATGGAGGGCTCACGTCATCCTCATGACCGGGGCTACTAGCGCTGAACGATCCAAACTATGTACACGATTCCTACCAGGAAAGCCCTCGAACAAGTCCCTTAGTTGTTGTTGTTGTTGTTGTTGTTGTTGTTGTCTTGACATTTAAAGCCGTTCCGATCTCTTTACCCGGTACCTTCATCTGTCCGTGCTACTGTAGTCAAACGCATGTC